AAATTATTAAAGAGAATTTTTTTGTTGGAGTTTTAGGCCTTGGAGGTTAAATAAAAAAGGCCTTAAAAGATTTTTTTTTGAAACTAAAAAAATATTTTTTTTGCCATTACATTTTGATAAAAATAATTTTTTGTATTTCAAAATCTTGAACCCTATGTGGGGGAGGTACCAGAAGGAATGGTCCGATCTGCACCATCTTTATAACAGAACTTGTGTTGATAGAAATATTGAGCTGTGCCAAGTCTGAATGGAATCGGTTGTAAATTTCACGTTTTAGAAGCTTCATGGATATTCAAAATTGTGACCCTTTGTGAGGGAGGTACCAGAAGGAGTTGACCGATATATTCCATCTTCACAGTAGATCTCGTGTTAGTAGAAATAATGGGATGTGTGAAATTTGAAGAGAATCAGATGCTTATTTTGCATTTTACCGGCTTCATGGATATTCCAAATTCTGGCCCTTTGTGGGGGAGGTATAAGAAATAATAGTTCGATCTCTACCATCTTTATAACAGATCTTGTGTTGATGGAAATATTGAGATGTGCCAAGTCTGAAATGGAATCGGATGTTAGTTCCGCGTTTTATGAGCTTCATCGATATTTAAAATTTTGACCCATTGTGGGGGAGGTACCAGAAGGAGTGGTCCGATCTCCACCATCTTTATAACAGACATTGTGTTGAAAGAAATATTGAGCTGTGGCAAGTCTGAATGGAATCGGATGTTTGTTTCGTGTTTTATGAGCTTCATTGCTATTCCAAATTCTGACCCTTTGTGTGGGAGGTTCCAGAAGGAGTTGACCGATATATTCCATCTTCACAGCAGATCTCGTGCTAGTAGAAATAATGGGATGTGTGAAATATGAAGATAATCGAATGCTTATTTATGATTTAATAATCGTTTTGGTTATTCCAAATTCTGACCCTTTGTGGGGGAGGTATATGAAAGAATAGTTCGATCTCTACCATCTTAATAACAGATCTTGTGTTTATGGAAATATTGAGGTGTACTAAGTCTGAATGGAATCGGATGTTAGTTCCGCGATTTATTAGCTTCATCGATGTTTAAAATTTTGACCCATTGTGGGGGAGGTACCAGAACGAATGGTCCGATCTCCACCATCTTAATAACAGATCTTGTGTTTATGGAAATATTGAGATGTACTAAGTCTGAATGGAATCGGATGTTAATTTCGTGTTTTATGAGCTTCATGGCTATTCCAAATTCTGACCCTCTGTGAGGGAGGTACCAGAAGGAATGGTCCGATCTCTATCATCTTCCCAGAAGATCTTGTGTTAGTAGAAATAATGGGATGTGTGAAATATTAAGGGAACCGGATTATTATTTCGCATTTTATTATCGTTTTGGTTATTTAAAAATTTGACCCCTTGGTGGGGGAGATACCAGAAGGAGCGCACTGGTAATTCCCATCTTCACACCAGACCTCGGGTTAATAAAAATATTGTAATGTGTGTAATTTGAAGTCGATCGGATCCTTACATCACATTTTATAAGAGTTATAATTATTTCAAATTTTGACCGTTTGTGGGGGAGGTACTTGATGGGGTGCACCGATATTGTCCATTTTCGCACCTGACCTAGGACTGCTGCAAATATTAGGATTTGCAAAGTTGGAGCAAAATTGGATTATCCTTTCTCTTCTAGTGCAGTAAAATAATTTTATTGAAATTTTGACCTTTTTGTGGGGAAGGAGTGGACCAATATTGCCTATCTCCGAACTCAATCTAAGTTTGACAAAAATATTACGATGTACCAAGTTTGAACCAAGTCGTATACTTCCTTCGAGAGTTATCGTGCTCACCAGCCTGTCAGACAGATAGTCGGGTGGACGGACGGACATCGCTAGATCGACTCCAAATGTCCTGAAACGGATTTGGTCCAAAGAGACCTAGGTTCAAAAACCATTATTTCGATAAGGCATATTTTGGCCGTATCAAATGATATATACCCTCTCTAGCCATATGACCATGACGCGTATTGAAAAAAAAAAATTTCTTTCTCAAAACGCCACCAAATTTATATCTTCTTCAACCACTTACCCCAAACACACTAAGCCAGGCATGTAGAGCGGTCCCTGCTAATGCAGTGCGCAAACATCGCCAGCACATGTAGATATCTTACTAAAGGCGGACTGTATTGATATATATTCTTGTTGAACTAAAATCTCTCTTTCTCTCCCTCTCTCTCTCTCTCTCTCTCTACTTCCGCTATTTAATTTTTTCAACAAAAAAAACGACCTTTCCAGATCTTTTTGGACGTAATTTCTGATGTAAAATCAAAACCGTAACGAAAATCTACAATTTTATGCCTGTCAGTACTGATGTTTGATTCAAAACCACATCAAGGCATTCTCCTGCCAAAATCTCAGGCATGATCGTAGCAAATGTATACAAATTCAAGCATGGCTTTAATTTCGTGATACTCGTTCTTAGTAAATATTCCACAATTTCATAAATAATCGAATTAGCTCATTCCACTCTTCCAACGTCACGTTGGGCGCCACTGTGTTAAGCCATACATTTGCTTAGTATAACTGAAATCTACGGGTTATTTTCAAAGTCATAATCTTTTTAAATAATTTTGCGGATAAAAATATTCAGAATTCCGTAAATTGGAGTTCCTATGAATATTGCGTGATATCTCAAGGAGTTAGTCCGCTATTTCAAAAAGCAGATATTCCTCTTTTTATATCCACCACCACAATGTGTCTGTCTGTTATAATCACGCCATCTTTAAAGCGAATTGAGATAGAAGGCTAAAATTTTGAACAATTTCAATTTCGTATTTGAAGTTCCTATGACAAAAAATTGCAGGTCCATATCTTCTTATGTCTTCCATTTAACGATACCTCCCGATATTCGGTATTTTGATGATTTTAGTGACATTATTCACAGAAAATGAAACTTTTTTCATTTTCTCCAGATATCTCAGGTTATTTGCTCGTTTACGACCATTATCCATGATTGGGCGCCACAGTAACGACACATGTTAATGGGGAGATTCCTTCAATGAATTATAGAAAAGGGTGGGAGGTGTTATTCTCAAAAACCTTAGCCATAATATGTGCTTCCATATGGGAAATATCCCAGCTAATATTTTTTCCGAATTCGGAAAAGAACTCTGCACAGATTTCCGATTCTGATGTCAAATTCAAAACGAACTCGGAAAAAATTGTGATTCTAAAAGTTTTTATTTTTTGAAAAAAAAAAAAAAAAACGGAAAAACCAAATCGGTAGTCTAGAATTCATCCCGTAATCTAACATAAACATACCACATGTAATAATCATTTGATTGAAAAGTTTTATTCTTTTTTATCCGTGATTGAGCGCCACAGTAACGACACATGATAATGGGGAGTTTCCTTCAATGAATTAGAGAAAAGGGTGGTGGCGTTATTCCCTAAAACCCTCAGCCATAATCTGTGCTTCTATAGGGAAATATCCCAGCTAATATTTTTTCCGAATTAGGAAAAGAACTCTGCACAGATTTCCGATTCTGATGTCGAATTCAAAACGAACTCGGGAAAAAATTGTGTTTCTAAAAGTTTTTTATTTTTTGAAAAAAAAAAAAAAAAAAAAAAAAAAAAAACGGAAAAACCAAATCGTTTACGACCATTACTCGGTAGTCTAGAATTCATCTCGCAATCTAAAACAAACATACCACATGTGATAATTATTTGATTGAAAAGTTTTATTCTTTTTTATCCGTGATTGGGCGCCACTGTAACGACACATGTTAATGGGGAGTTTCCTTTAATGAATTATAGAAAAGGGTGGGTGGCGTAATTCCCAAAAACCTCAGCCATAATCTGTGCCTCCTCTTTCCGAATTCGGAAAAGAACTCTGCACAGATTTCCGATTCTGATGTCGAATTCAAAACGAACTCGGGAAAAATTTGTAATTCAAAAATTTTTTATTTTTTGAAAAAAATCGGAAAAACATTAGATTTTCGTGACGAATTCGTTTAGTATTCGCAAAAGAAAAAATGAAAATTCGGAAGATTTTCATATGTTTGATACGAAAAGTTGTCGGACGTTTGATCCGAAACTCGGAAAAAAATCTGAATTTGTTCTCTAGTTTTATCCGGAAATCGGGAAAAAATTCATTTGAAGAACTTAAAAGTGTCGGATGTTTGATACGAAATTCGGAAAAAAAATTGAAAAATTTCCGGGAAAACGGCAGAAAGTTTCGACAAAAAATCGGAAATCAGAGCCCTTGGAAAAAATTGTTAGCTGAGATCCTGCGTTTGAAGAACGGAAAAGTGTCGGATGTTTGATACGAAATTCGGAAAAAAATTGAAAATTTTCCTGGGAAACGGCAGAAAGTTTCGACAAAAAATCGGACATCAGAGTCCTCGGAAAAAATTGTTAGCTGAGATCCTCCGTAAGTATTTTCCAGTGAATAACAATCTCTAAAATCCGTGGGTGGGTTAGTTACTCTCTCTCATGTCCCCGTTTGGGCGCCACTGTAACGACAAATTTTAGCCGAGAGTTACATTTTAAAAATTTCTTTAAAGTCGTGTTTCTCCGGCAAAATCGCACACATAATCAATGATAGATCATCAAAATTTTTTAAAAGATATTAGAGGTTTGCTCACTTTATATTCTCAACTTGTTTAAATTTGGAGTATATTAAAATAGATCCCTGTTTAACTAAAATCTCTCTCTCTTTCTCTCTCTCTCTCTCTTCTACACAAGTATGCTCCGTTATATATTTTTTTTTTTTAATTAAAAAAACATGATGACTATTCCTTGGAAATTTGGAGATTTGAGAAATTTAAAAAGAACTCCGAATTTTTTTTCCTATACGAATTTCAAGCCGTAGATATAATCGTAGAATATTGATTTACTTTTTATGGGAAATTTTGGCTGGGCTAAATTTACTAAATTTTGAACTGCCTAGAAAATGGTTATTAAGTTTCTTAAAATATTTTTTTTCTTAAAATATTTTTTTTTTTTTTAATAATTTTCTTTATACTTACCTTTTTAATTTAATTTGCCATAAATAAAATTTGTATGGAATCCAGTGGATTTATTTATGGAAGGCCACTAAACTGTCGAACTTGATGATGATTTATTTTAAATTTGAAATAAACAAACAGACAAAACAACCGAATACCGGAAAGAATTCACTTCATTTGTTGAAAGCAGCAGCAGGGTACAGCATACGTCTGAGCGATTCAAGCGTGAGCGTGAGTTAAAAATAATTTCCAGCTAATGTTGGCAAACAGAAAATGCATTCTTAGAAATTGTGGAATATTTACAAAACATTACAAATTTTTCCGCGTGTCTCCTTTTTGGGGGATTTTTTCCCGATTCCTGGAAAGCAAAATCAGTGAAGAGGTGGAAAGGCAGGAATTTTGTTTTTTTTTCGAATAGGTTTTAAAAGGAAATTTTGGGGTTTAAAGATCTTGGAAAGGTAATTAATTTTGAAATATTTTCATTTAAAAATGACAATTTCAAGGGCAATTTAAAGACTCCTAAGTAAGTTGCTCTTCAAGGCAATGTCTGAAATAACCAGTAAAGAAAGTCTTAAAGTCGGGCGGGGCCGATTTTATGATACCCTGCACCACTTTGCTAATTTAGTTGAGCTCCACTTAATAATTAAAAGTTTTTATGGGAGAATTCAATCATACACGCTATGATTATAATTATAATTTAAAATTCAAAGGACTAAATATGCCAAAGCATTTGTATCTTTTAAATTCGGACTTTGGTGCAAAATTAATTTGAAATCAGATAAAGATATATGTGGGAACTATATCCAAATCTGAACCGATCTCGATGAAATTTGGCAAAGATATTTCTGTGCTGCATTCGATATATTTCCCTGAATATTGTTGTTACGGAGTGCATATTACGGCTGTGGGTAACAAATATGACAAATCGGATGAACAATATATATGGGAGCTATAGCTATATCTGAACCGATCTTCACCAAATTTGACATACTAGCTTCTAGACTCAATTCGGTCGTATGTGCCAAATTCCATCCCATTTGGGCAAATATTAGACGTTTGGTGCACAATTAACGCGAAATCGGACGAAGTTATATATGCGAGCTATATCCAAATCTGAACCGATCTTGATAAAATTTAGCAAAGATATTTCTGATCTGCATTTAATATATTTCCCCAAATATTGTTGTTACAGAATGCATATTACGGCTACGGAGGACAAAAATAACAAATCGGATGAACAATATGTATGGGAGCTATAGCTATATCTGAATCGATTTCGATAAAATTTGGCATACTTATTTTCAGGCCTAATTTAGTTGTTTGTGCAAAATTCCATACTATTCGGGCTGATATTACACTTTTGGTGCACAATAAAAGGCAAATCGGACGAAGATATATATGGGAGCTATATCTAAATTTTTACCGATTATCTCCAATTTCAATAGGGTTCGTCCTTGGGCCAAACAAGTGATGTTTGCCAAATTTCATCTGGATAGGGCAAAAAATGCGATCTGTACTTTGTTTACAAAAATACATGGACAGACGGACGGACGGACGGACCGACATGCATAAATCGACTCAGAATGTGGTTCTATGCAGATCATCAAAAGGAACTATGGGTCTATCTTGTTTCCTTTTGCCTGTTACAAACAAATGCACAAAGACATAATACCCTGACCACCTTGTGGTGTAGGGTATAAAAAAATGTTAAGTGGCGCCCAATTGTGTTTAAACTGGCATATTTCATGAAAATGGCGACCAATCCTTGAAATTAAAAAGAGAAAACATTTACAAACGTCATCGATTTTTTTTTTGGGTTTTTGAAAACTGACCCCCAGCTATGGAGTAGAATATTAAGCACAATTTAAAATATGGCGCCCAATCGTTGTAAAATTAAGATGTCCTCGAATTGTGGCTAGATAGGGGGGATTCTCTTAAATGAGACGCCCTTTTTATACCCTCCACCATACATAGTATGGAGGGTACATAAAGTTCGTCATTCCGTTTGTAACTCATCGAAATAATATGTTTAGACCCAACAAAGTATATACAGGGTGAGATGCAAAAAACCGGCAATCAACTTCAGACTGTTGCCATGGTGATGGTGTGCGCCGCCATAACAGCTGATGGTCGCTCTCCGCTCGTATTAATCGACCGTGGCATCAGAATAAATGCCGAATATTATCGGGAAAACATTCTGGAGGGTGTATAAAAAGCCTTGGGCACGCAAACATTTTGGCCGCAGACCTTGGACATTCCAACAGGACTCAGCAGCATCGCACTCAGCACACGCCACCCCAGAATGGTTACAAAATGAGATTCCTCGTTTAATTTCTTCCGCACAGTGGCCCCCTAAAATCTCCGGATAACAATCAGTTGGACTATTGTGTCTGGAGTATTTTGGAAAGCAAAGTTGGCACTAACAACTACCACAGTGTCGATCACCTCAAGCAAGCGCTTTGCCCCCGGGAATGGGCCAAAATACCGTAGAGCAACATTCGGGTGTGGCGTGTGACGGTTTCATTAGCCATTTGAAGGCCATAATTCGTGCCAAAGGTGACCAATTCGAACAAATCTAAACTTTTTCTAAAATTTGATACTATTTCCGACATTTTTTGCTTTCATTCAATAAAATTGTAAAAGAAAATATGAAAAAATTATGACGTTTGACGTTGTTGCAGTTTTTTTTATCTCACCCTGTATATTCTTAATCAGCTTAAAATTCAAAGACGATTTAGCCATGTCCGTCCGGACGTCCATCTGTCCGTCTCTTGTAATCACGCTGGAGTCTAAACGAATAAACATAGGAAGATAACATTTTGCACAGATCTGTCTTTTGTCTGCAGGCAGGTCAAGTTCGATGATGGGCTATATCGGTCCACGATAACATATAGCCCTCATATAGCGGTACCTCCCGATATTCGGTATTTTGATGATTTTAGCCACATTTTTCAATGGAATTGTCTGAAAATCCGCAAAAGGAGTTCCTTCGGAGTACTTTACTCCCTGGAAGAGAATTGTCTATATAGGTCCACGTCTTCGTATAGCCTCCATATAACGTTACCTCCCCATATTCGGTATTTTGATGATTTTAGCCACATTTATCAATGGAATTGCTTCAAATTTGGTATTTGAAGTTCACAATGGATACTACAGTCTAGGACAGAAAATTGTCTACGTGGGTCTAGGTTTACGAGTAGCCTCCACGTATAAGTACCTATCTATATTCGGTATTTTGATAATTTTAGCGACAGTATTCAATGAAATTGATTGAAATTTCGTATTTGAAGTTCCTATTAGGTATTGCAGCCTGTTACAGAAAATAGTCTATGCAGGTCCAGGTGTTCGTATATCCACCATACAACGGTACCTCTCGATATTCGGTATTTTGATTATTTTAGCAACAGTATTCACCGGAATTGTATCAAATTTCGTATTTGAAGTTCCTAATAGGTACTACAGCCTGTTACAGAAAATTGTATATGTAGGACCAAGTCTTCGTATAGCGTCCATATATCGATACCTCCCAATATTCAGTTTTTTGATCATTTTAGCGACATTTTTAATCTGAATTCTTTCAAATTTCGTATTTAGAGTTCGTAATGGGAACTACAGCCTATGACAGAAAATTGTCTATGTAGGTCTAGGTCTTCTTATAGTTCCCATATATCAGTACCGCCCGATATTCGGTATTTTGATTATTGTAGCCAAGTTTGTCAATGGAATTGTCTGAAAATCCACAAAAGGAGTTTCTTCTGAATACTTTACCCACTGAAGGAATCTTGTCTATATAGATCTACGATATTGCATACTCCCCTACAACGGTACCACCCATTATTCGGTATTTTGATTTTAGCGACAAAATTCACTGGAATTGTTTCAAATTTAGTATTTGAAGTTCCGAATAGGTACTACAGCCTGTGACAGAAAATTGTCTATGCAGACCCACGTCTTCGTATAGCCTCCATATGACGATATCTGCCTATATTCGGTATTTTAATGATTTTAGCGACATTATTCACCGTAGTTGTTTCAAATTTCGTACTCAGAGTTCGTAATGGGAACTGCAGCCTGTGACAAAATATTGTCAATGCAGGTCCATGCCTTCGGACAGCCCCATATAATGGTAGCTCCCTATATTCGGTATTTTGAAGATTTTAGAGACATTATTCACCGGAATTGTTTCAAATTTGGTATTTGAAGTTCGCAATGAATACTACAGCCTATGACAGAAAATTGCCTATGCAGGTCCGTGTCTTCGTATAGCCTCCATGCATCAGTACCTCCAGATATTTGGTATTGTGATGATTTTAGCGACATTATTCACCGGAATCGTTTCAAATTTGTTATTTGAAGTTTGTAATAGATATTATAGCCTGTGACAAATTGTCTATGCAGGTCCAAGTCTTCGTGTAGGCCCCATATATTAGTTCCACCCCATATTCGGAATTTTGACGATTTTAGGTCACCGAAATTGTTTGATATTTAGTATTTGAAGTTCTTAATAGGTACTACAGCCTGTGACAAAAAATTGTCTGTGCAGGCCTAGGTCTTCGTATACGCCCCATATAACGATACCTCCCGATATTTGGTATTGTGATGATTTTAGCGACATTATTCACCGGAATCGTTTAAACTATCGTTTGGAACTACATTCTATGACAAAAAATTGCGTATGCGGGTCCAGATCTTTGAGTAGGCTCCATATATCAGTACCGACCGATATAAAGCATTTTGACGATTTTTGCGACAATATTCACCGGAGCTGTTTGAAATTTGGTATTTGAAGTTCGTAATGGATATATTACGTCTATGACTGAAAATTGCTCATGCAGGTCCCAGGTCTTCGTGTATGCCCCATATATCACTACCTTCCGATATTCGGTATTTTAATGATTTTAGCCACATTATTCTCCGGAATTGTTTCAAATTCGGTATTTGAAGTTCATATTAGATACTACAGTCTATGACAGCAAATTGTCTGTGCAGGTCCACGTTTTCGCATAGCCCCCATATAACGATACCTCTCGAAATTCGGTATTTTGATGATTTTGGCGACTTTATTCACCGGAATTGTTTCAAATTTCGTATTTAGAGTTCATAATGGATATTACATCCTATGGCTGAAAATTGTCTATGTAGGTCCAAGTCTTCGTATAGGCCCCATATATCAGTACCTCCCTATATTCGATATTTTGATGATTTTAGCGACATTATTCACGGGGGTTGCTTCGTATTTGGAGTTCCTAATAGGTACTACAGCCTGTGACAGAAACTTGTCCGTGCAGGCCTAGGTCTTCGTATAGGTCTCATATATCAGTACTTGCCGATATTCGGTATTTTGACGATTTTAGGTACAATTTTTATTGAAACTGTTTGAAGTTTAGTATTTGAAGTTCCTAATAGGTACTACAGCCTGCGACAGAAAATGCAGGCCCCATATAACGATATCTCCTGATATTCGGTATTTAGATGATTTTAGCTACACTATTCACCCGATTTTTTTCAAGTTTCGTATTTGAATATTTTAATGGCTTATGGCAAATGTCGCCTATGCAGGTCCACGTCTTCGAATAGACCCCAATATAACGTTTATATTCAGTAGTTTTTAAGATTAGAACAGTGTGGCTTGTTTGTTCGGGATACCGTAGTATTTTGTTGTTGCAAAATGGTCAGGCTTTATCCCTTTATTGTTGTTTTTATTGGGGAGAATATCCCAGACAAAAAACAAGGGAACTGATGAGGATTGGTGGCTCTTTCCGAAACCTAGGTATTCCCTGCCTTACCCCCTGGTAAACATTACCATCGTTCTTCACTATAAACAAACGTTGTTTTTATAAAAACAACAATAAAGGGATAAAGCCTGACCATTTTGCAACAACAAAAGTTTTTAAGATTTTAACAGAATCTTTGACGGATTTAATTTTTTTTTATTTCCAAATTTGTTCAAAATGTTGGAGGCTATTCAAAGTTCGACCCGGTCGAATTTAGTGCTTTTTTACAGTCTTATTTTTTTTTTTTTGCAAAATCCTTATCTTGGAATGTCAGATCGATGGAGTCCTTATTTTCCACTCCTCCAACAAAAATATATATCCCCATGAAATTTCGAAATTTGAAAGTCAAAGCTCAAAGCAACGCGTGACGCCCTTCACTGATTTTGATTTCAAATTTCTTTGGATAAAAATATGAAAATATTTTTAATTTTTTCACTTTTTTATGGCCGGCAATAAATATTCACGGCCTTTAAGATCTTATTCTTAACTCTTCTTAGAGAATATATATTTCCACGGAATTGCCGAATCTTAAAGTCAAAGTACAAAGCAATGCCTGACGCCCTTCATTGATTTAGTTTGGATGTTTTTTTTTTTTGGATAAAAATATGAAAATATTTTCGATTTTTTTCACTTTTTTATGGCCGGCAATAAATATTCACACCCTCTTAGATCTTATGCTTAACTCCTCTGCGAGAATATATATTTCTACGAAATTGCCAAATCTTAAAGTCAAAGTTTGGATTTTTTTTTTTAAGAAAATTTTAAAATATTTTCGATAATTTTCACTTTTTTATGATTGGCAATAAACAATCACAGCCTCTAAGATCTTATGCTTAACTCCTCTTAGAGAAAATATATTTTTCCACGAAATTGCCAAATCTTAAAATCAAAGCCCAAAGCAATGCCTGACGCCCTTCATTGATTTTGTTTGGATTTTTTTTTTTTTGATAAAAATATTAAAATATTTTCGATTTTTTTTTTCAATTTTTTAAGCCGACAATAAATATTCACAGCCTCTAAGATCTTATGCTTAACTCCTCTTAGAAAATATATATTTCCACGAAATTGCCAAACCAATGCCTGACGCCCTTCATTGATTTTGTTTGGATTTTTCTTTTTTTGATAATAATATTTAAATATTTTTTTATTTTTTCACTTTTTTATGGCCGGCAATAAATATTTACACTCTCTTCTGCTTAACTCCTCTTAGAGAATATATTTACCCACGAAATTTACGAATCTTAAAGTCAAAGCCCAGAGCAATGTCTGACGCCCTTAATTGATTTTGTTAGGATTTTTTTTTTTTTTTTTTTGATAAAAATATTAAACTATTTTCGATATTTTTTACTTTTTTATGAGCGGCAATAAATATTCACGCCCTCTAAGATCATACGCTTTACTGCTTTTAGAGAATATATATTCGCACGAAATTGCCAGATCTTAAAAAGAAAACCCAAGGAAATGTCTAACGCCCTTCATTGATTTTGTTTTTTTTGATAAAAAATATTAAAATATTTTTCTATTTTTTTTTCACTTTTTTTGTGATCGGCAATAAATAATCACAGCCTCTAAGATCTTCTGCTTAATTCCTCTTAGAGAATATATATTTTCCCACGAAATTGCCAAATCTTAAAGTCTAAGACCAAACCAATGCCTGACGCCCTTCATTGATTTTGTTTGGATTTTTCTTTTTTTTTGATAAAAATATTTAAATATTTTCGATTTTTTTCACTTTTTTATGAGCGGCAATAAATATTCACACCCTCTAAGATCTTACGCTTAACTCCTCTTAGAAAATATATATTCGCACGAAATTGCCAGATCTTAAAAAGAAAACCCAAGGAAATGTCTGACGCCCTTCATTGATTTTGCTCGACTTTTTTATTTATTTATTAATTTATTTTATTTTATTTATTTTTTTTTTTTTGATAAATATTAAAATATTTTTTTCATTTTTTTTGATCGGCAATAAATATTTACACCCTCTTCCTCTTAATTCCTCTTAGAGAATATATATTTCCACGGAATTGCCAAATCTTAAAGTCAATGCCCAAAACAATATCAGACGCCCTTCATTGATTTTGTTTGGATTTTTCTTTTTCTTTTTTTTTATAAAAATATTAAAATATTTTCGATTTTTTTCACTTTTATTATGGTCGGGTAATAAATAATCACAGCCTCTAAGATCTTCTGCCTAACTCCTCTGCGAGAATATTTATACCCACGAAATTTACGAATCTTAAAGTCAAAGCCCACAGCAATGCCTGACGCCCTTCATTGAGTTTGTTTGGATTTTTTTTGAAAAAAATATTAAAATATTTTCGATATTTTTCACTTTTTTATGATTGGCAATAAACAATCACAGCCTCTAAGATCTTATGCTTAACTCCTCTTAGAGAAAATATATTTTCCCACGAAATTGCCAAATCTTAAAGTTAAAGCCGAAAGCAATGCCTGACGCCCTTCATTGATTTTGTTTGAATTTTTCTTTTTTTTTTTTTTGATAAAAATATTAAAATATTTTCGATTTTTTTTTACTTTTTTAAGCCGAAAATAAATATTCACAGCCTCTAAGATCTTATGCTTTACTGTTTTGAGAGAATATATATTCGCACGAAATTGCCAGATCTTAAAATCAAAACCTCGATTTTGTTCGACTTTTTTATTTATTTATTTTTTTTTTTTTTTGATAAATATTAAAATATTTTTTTCACTTTTTTTTGATCGGCAATAAATATTTACACCCTCTAAGATATTCTGCTTAATTCCTCTTAGAGAATATATATTTTCCCACGAAATTTACGAATCTTAAAATCAAAGCCCAAAGCAATGCCTGGCGGCCTTCATTGATTTAGTTTGGATTTTTTTTTTTTTTTTTTGATAAAAAATATTTAAATATTTTCGATTTTTTTTCTCACTTTTTTATGATCGGCTAATAAATATTTACACCCTCTAATTCGGAAATCTACGACACAACTGATTAATAATCTACTAAAAAATTAAAAAAAAAACTCAAACACAGCATGCAAATGCAAAATGCAAGTGCAAAAAAAAATACAAATCGGAAAAATCCCCCCACAACAAAACGTTGAATGGCATTAAATTGTCATAATTATAATGGCATAACGACGTACAAGGGGGCGGAGGGCTGGAAGTGTGAGCGGAGAACTGAGAACGTTTTGCAGTGGTTTCCATTAAAACTTGTTTCAAACGACATTACACGAGAGCTAAGCGTGTAAGTGCGCTGAGCCTCAAACAGATATTGACATTTTACTTCTTTTTTTTTTTTTTTTTTTGATAAAAAAACTCTTTATAACAAGGTCAGTGTTTAAGCAGAGTATCGAGTGAAACAAAAGAATAAGAACTTATTTTTATGGCAAACCAAAAATAAGAAGCTCATAAATAATCTGTCTTCAGACTTTGTTTTTTGACATGGGACGCGTGGAAAGATTTTGAACCCTTTCAAAAGGCTAAAAATACCCAAGTGAGACAAATCTTTTGGATTACTCATCGCCAAACCACTAAAGCTGCAGGGCAAATTTATTTAGATCCCAAACCCATTGAGGTATTTGCTTTAAGACCAACACAGAATCAGAGCACACCATATTGCTTGCAATATACAGTGGCTCAGAGCTTATTTTAACCACCAACCATACTAGTGTTTTGGGGGGATATAGTTTCTAAACATATTGAGGAATTCAAAAAAAAAAAAAAAAAAAAATAGTAGTAAGTTCGACCGGACCGAAATGTGAATAGCCTCCAGGCTTTAAAAAAATGGAAATTTTCAAAAAAAATTTTTTTTTTTAAATTTTAAAAATACAGTATATAGGAAATCATCATTATTTTGGGGTCTATACGAAGACGTGGGCCTGTACGGACAATTTTCTGCCTTAGGCTGTAGTATCCATTACGGACTTCAAATACGAAGTTTGAAAAAATTCCGATGAATAATGTACCTAAAATCATCAAACCACCGTATATCGGGAGGTGCCGTTTTATGGGAGCTATACGAAGACCTGGACCAGCATAGACAATTTTGTGCCACAGGCTCCAGTACCTATTACGAATTTCAAATACGAAATTTGAAACAATTCCCGTGAATAATGTAGCTAAAATCATCAAAATAACGAATATTGGAAGGTACCGATATTTAGGGGCTATACGATGACGTGGACCTGCATAGCTAATTTTTTGTCACAGGCTGTAGAACCCAGTACGAATTGCAAATACGAAATATGAAACAATTCCGGCGAATATAGTCGCTAAAATGATCAAAATACCGAATATCGGGAGGTGGCGTTATATGGGAGCTATAGGAAGGCGTAGACCCACGCGGACAATTTTCTGTCATAGGCTGTAGTGTCCATTACGAACTTCAAATACCACATTTGAAACGATTCCGGTGAATAATGTTGCTTAAATCATCAAAATAACGAATATCGGAAGGTACCGATATTTAGGGGCTATATGAAGACCTGGACCTGCTTAGACAATTTTCTGTCATAGACTGTAGTTTCCATTACGAACTTCAAATACCAAATTTGAAACAATTCCGGTGAATATTGTACCTAAAATCATCAAAATACCGAATATCGGGAGGTACCGTTATAAGGGGTCTATACGAAGTCGTCGACCTGCTTATACAATTTTTTGTAATAGGCTGTAATATCCATTACGAACTACAAATGCCAAATTTGAAATAATTCCGGTGAATATTGCACCTAAAATCATCAAAATACCGAATATTGGGAGGTACCCTTATATGCGAGCTATAAGAAAACCTGGACCTGCATGGAGAATTTTCTGTCATAGGCTGTAGTATCCATTGCGAACTTCAAATACCAAATTTGAAACAATTCCGGTGAACAATGTCGCTGAAATAAGCAAAATACCGAATAACGGGAGGTACCGATATATGGGAGCTACACGAAGACCTGGACGTGCATAGACAATTTTCTGTCATAGGCTGTAGTATCCATTACGAAGTGCAAATACGAAATTTAAAAGAATTCCCGTAAATAGAGTCGCTGAAATCATCAAAATCCCGAATATCGGGAGGTACCGTTATATGGAAGCTATACGAAGGCGTGGACCTGCATAGACTATTTTCTGTCATAGGCTGTAGTATCCATTACGAACTTCAAATACGAAATTTGAAACAATTCTGGTGAACGATGTCGCTGAAATAAGCCAAATATCGAATATAAGAAGGTACCGATATTTGGGGGCTATACGAAGACCTGGACGTGCATAGACAATTTTCTGTCAGAGACTCTGGAACCTATTAGGAACTTCAAATACGAAATTGGAAATAATTCCGGTGAATAATGTCGCTAAAATCAACAAAATACCGAATGTCGGGAGGTGTTATATGGGAGCTGTAGGAAGGCGTGGACCCGCGCTGACTTTTTTCTGTCATAGGCTGTAGTTCCCATTACGAACTTCAAATACCAAATTTGAAGCAATTCTGGTGAACAATGTCGCTGAAATAAGCCAAATACCGAACATAGGAAGATACCGATATTTGGGGGCTATATGAAGACATGGACCTGCATGAGCAATTTTCAGTCATGTGCTGTAGTATTTATTACGAACTTCAAATACGAAATTGGAAACAATTCCGGTGAATAATGTTGCTTAAATCAACAAAATACCGAATATAGGGAGGTACTGATATATGGGGCCTATGCGAAGACCTATGAACATGTATAGACAATTTTCTGTCACAGGCTGTAGTATCCATTACGAACTTCAAATACGAAATTTGAAATAATTCTGGTAAATAAATTTGCTAAAATCATCAAAATACCGAATAAAGGGAGGTACCGTTATATGGGGGCTATACGAAGACGTAGACCTGCACAGACAATTTTCTATCACAGATTGTAGTTCCCATTACGAACTTCAAATACCAAATTTGAAACAATTCTGGTGAACAATGTCGCTGAAATAAGACAAATACCGAATATCGGGAGGTACCGTTATATGGAAGATATACGAAGGTGTGGACCGGCGCAGACAATTTTCTGTCATAGGCTGTAGTATCTATTACGAGCTTCGAATACCAAATTTGAAACAGTTCCGGTGAATAATGTCGCTAAAATTACCAAAATACCGAATATCGGGAGATATCGATATATGGGGGCTATACGAAGGCGTGGGCCTGCACCGACAATTTTCTTTCATAGGCTGTAGTATTCATTACGAACTTCAAATACTAAATTTTAAACAAATCCGGTTCACAATGTCTCTAAAATCAACAAAATACCGAATATCGGGAGGTACAGTTATGTGGAGGCTATACGAAGACGTAGACCTGCACAGACAATTTTCTGTCAAAGGCTGTAGTACCCATTGGTAACTTCAAATATGAAATATGAAACAATTCCTGGTGAATATAGTCGCTAAAATCATCAAAATACAGAATATCAAAAGGTACCGATATTTAGGGGCTATATGAAGACCTCGACCTGCATAGATAAATTTCAGTCATAGACTGTACTTCCAAATACGAACTCTAAATATGAAATTTGGAAATGTATAATCGTTTTGGTTATTCAAGATTTTGACCCTTTGTGTGGGAGGTACCAGAAGAAATGGTCCGATCTCTACCATCTTTATAACAGATCTTGTGTTGATTGAAATATTGAGATGTACTAAGTCTGAATGGAACCGGATGTTAATTTCGCGTTTTATGAGCATCATAAATATTTAAAATTTTGATCCTTTGTGGGGAGAGGTACCAGAAGGAGGTAACCGATATATTCCATCTTCACACAAGAACTTGGGTTAATAAAAATATTGGGATGTGTGTAATTTGAAGACAATCGCATTTTTTACATCAGAGTTATAATTATGCAAAATTTTGACCCTTTGTGGGGGAGGTACTTGATGGAGTGGACCGAAATTGTACATTTTTATACCCTACACCACATAGTGGTAATGGTATTATGTCTTTATGCATTTTTTTGTAATATGGAGAAGGAAGCGAGATAGACCCATAGTTATTTTTGAGGATCTTCATAGAATCACTTTCTGAGTTGATTTATGCATGTCAGTCCGTCTGTCCTTCCGTCCGTCCATGTTTTCTTGTGAACAAAATGCAGGACGCATTTTTTGTCCGATTGGGATGAAAATTTCTAAAAAATATTTATTTGTCCCTAGGACGAACCTTTTTGAAATTGGTGATAATCGGATCAGATTTAGATAATGATATTTGGTACCAGATATCTTATAGAGCTCGGAAATACATTTGTCGAATTTTATCAAGATCGGCTAAAATTTGGATATAGCTCCCATCTATATCTTCAACCGATTTCGGGTTTATTGTAAAAATAATGGCTAATATCAGTCCGAATGACCTTAATTTCCGCGCATCCGACCGAATTCATTCTAGAAGAAAGTACATAAAATTTGGAGAAAATCGGTTCAGATATAGCTATAGCTCCCATTTGTATATTTTATCCGACTTGGGGTTTTATGTCCCTCACATGCATAAATATGCATTTGGCAACAATGATATTTGGTATCAGATGTCAGGTACAGCCCAGAAATACCTCTGCGAAATTTTATCAAGATCGGTTCAGATTTGGATATAGGTCCCATATATATCTTCAACCGATTTCGGGTTAATATTGCACCAAATTGCCAAAATCAGCCCAAATGACCTGAATTTTGTTACATCCAACTGAATTCTGTCTAGAAGAAAGTACATAAAATTTGAAGAAAATCGGTTCAGCTATAGCTCCCATATATATGTTTCATCCGATTAAGGGTTTTAAGTCCCTCACATTCGTAATATACCTTCGACCACAATGATATTTGGTATCAGATATCTTATAGAGCTCGGAAATACATTTGCCAAATTTTATAGAGATCGGCTAAGATTTGGATATAGCTCTCATATATATAAGTCACTCTCAGGTGTAATATTCATTCCACAACAATGATCTTTGGTACCAGATGTCAGGT